TTTAGGTGCTTCAACTCCCTTCAATAAAATTATTCAGCATAAATCAGCTAAATTCCGCATATTTTGCTTTTCATTCAGATGATGAGGAATGCCATACTTAAAAAAAATAGTAAGTACCTGCATATTTTGGTTAAGTATTTTAATCAGTGCTACTGGTGCAATTCCTAACCGTTGGTCCATTTCTGGTTTTCTGGTTCGACGAGGAACTGTCGAGGGACTTTCGCTCGTTCTTTTCGTCGCTGTTGGCCGAGTACGTTCGCGATTCGACGTTCGTCGGCGTTCTCGTCCGCCGGACGGATAAGATAATCCTCAACCGGATATTATTCGGGGCTGAGCCCGTTTCGGCCGCTTACTACAGACGGGCCATGGCCCACTTCGACCAGCTCTTCCTGAACCCGATGTTCGTCCTGGCCAGTGACGATATGCGATAGAGCAAGGAGCATGTGACTCACGCCAAGAAACGCGTCGCGTTCGTGGAGGGGCGTGGCCGGGACTTCGACTTCGCCGTGCACCTTCACTGCAATCAAATAATCGTCTCCGTCGGGACTTTCCGCTTCTTCGTCGCATATTTCGCCGGGGGCATCGTCGCCCCCCCCCCCCCCCCCCCCCCCCCCCACGCCCACNCGGGGGCATCGTCGCCCCCCCCCCCCCCCCCCCCCCCCCCCCCAAGATCGTCTCCGAGAAGCCCATGTTAGTTGACTTCGCCGTCGCTCGGATGGGGTCGACAGCTGGATTTTCGTAAACAATGATTGATTTTCTCTCCGAAGTGGTTTTCTTCGTTTTGAGTTCATTTTTTGCAAATTCTCTTATGAAAAAAATCAGCTGGAAGTTCCATTTTAGAAGCAATTAAATGCTTGTCACGGTTTCATCAAGAATTGTCATTTGGCCTTGGTAAATTTGACCTAGTTCCCGATTATATAATAGAACTGGAAAACAGGGCAACTTATTTCCAGGAATATTTCCAGATTTTTCATTGGATGTTTCCGGGTACTTTTTTTATTACAACAAAACAGTTTAAAATGTCAAAATTCAGTTCCAGTCAAAACTCCTAACTGTGCACATTTTCGATCGTTACACCTCGGCAGCAACAACGTTGGTAACATTTCTACTGAAAAATGTGACCGTCGATCCCTCCTTGCGCGTCGCGTAACTTTGCGGCACGGACAAATCCGAATATTTGTGCACAAACAAATTTACAAGCATCGGCTGTCAAATGGTTTAAATCCAATGCGCAAAAAGTAATTACCAAATTACACCTCTACATGATGCACAATATTGCAATTCCATGGTCATTTTCCCACATGATCCCCCAGCACAACAATGCACTTGTCCCATCTCGCCAGCTTTTGCATGCCTGTTGCATAGAATACTTTGGATTGCAGATCCAGCCAAACTAGGACCTCCTCATACACAGCCTAAGTCCCAGAGAATGGAGAGTCCCTTTGCCTCGTATGGCCTCCAAACCTTTTGGGGTCCAATGGTTGTTCTCTATGTCTGCACTTGCCGATCCGAATTTTTCATTCATTCCATAATTTTGATAATGAACAATATATGACTCCAATGCTTTTGCAAGCATGGGGTTGCGCTTCTAATATGTTATTCTATACATTTCAACCTATTTTCATTCTAGATATCTCAACATATTTTTTGGACTATCGATAGGGAATGCCCGCGGAAAGCTCCTCCCAAAACTGGAGAATGGTATGGTAGCGCTCCATGCACATTGGAGCTTGTCATAGGTGGCACAAATTTAACGCGTTTCCCGCCTCTTTTCCGGACCCATTCATGTGTGCTTGCACACGTGAGATAGAGTGGCGGTATATTGCATGCTGTATGCGACTGGTATTGGAGATAGGTAGTAAGTTCTGGAACGTATGACTTGGGCGGATGACCGCCAAATGAGCTGGTTAGTGCTATGCTTCTCCAGGATTTGCTGAAGGAGTTTCAGCCTCAAGTCCGAGACAATGTGCTACGTTTGAAAGACCATCCATAAGGTGACCATGAAGTGACTACCTATGAGCACATTTTTTCGTACTTTATCTCAGGTTACCCCATTTTATGATATTTGTGTATCCATTTTATCGATCGACCTCGGAAAGGTGCAAAATCGTTCTTTCCTCCAACCTGGTGTAACAGAGTTATTCTACTAAACCCTCTCTTTAAATACATGTTCACAATATTGGGTTCAGCATTCCGAAACGGGTGAGGTGAAGGCATTGTTTGCAAAGAAAAACCCACAGATTTGAACAATTTGAAAGCGACTATCTCTCGTGTTGTGTGGCAGGTGTTTAAATAAATACCGTGTTTTTTAAGTATAAGAAGTTCCTGCAATAAAGTCAAATGCCTAATTTTTCTTGGAATTTTAATACCAACGTATTTTCAATTAAAAAAGCGCTGCATATTCTAAAAACCAAAAATCTGGGAAGCTAATACTTGACCATGCAAATGTGGCAGGAGAAAATATTATTTTATTCCCAGGTTGGTATGCTGTCAGTCTACAAACACAAAAAATGCTATTTCAGTTTTAATAATAAAAAGTTATCCCTTAGGTAGTCACTTCACGGACACCTAGTTGTGAGCTAAGTAGACAAGATTTTTGTTCATGAAATTCTACAGGGTGTCTGGAAAGACACTCCCTATGTTTAATTTGTAAAACTGCCGTACTTTTTTATTGTAACATTTGGTTTTCGTTCTAAGGTGAATAGAATTCAATAAGATTTTGTGATATCATTTATTTGTTTACTTGCGGTAATCCTCTATGGCTCCAAAATCGAAACCTCGATTGAGTGCGCAAATAGCTGCATTGCATGAGGAGGTCCCACGTTCTGGTCCGGAGGTGGACCTCCTCTTACCGCACAGTCATTTCCTCATGGCGTCGAATAATCGATTTTGGCGCCATAGAGGTTACCGTATAAAAATATATGGCAATGAAATCGTGTGGAATCCTGCTCTTTCGGCACAAATGCCATTGATATTATCTAACACGGACAAAATATATTGCAATTTAAGCATATGGAGTGACTCTCCAAACACCCTGTACAACTTGCATATATTACATATTTTCACTGTCTTTCGGTTACAAAATGGAGAACTGAAAGGTCCAATAGAATTACAAAACGTTGATGCTTTCGATCGTCTTGGAAAACTTATTTGCCAATATACGGAATATTTCCACAAAAAAATAAACCTGAGCTGTGCACGCAAGGAAAATAGGAAATCAGGAAGCCCCTCTTGGCTCAAATCTCACTCGTTCCTTATGACCCTGTCTGATTCCCGTTATGCTAGGAGAAGAAGGGGTGTCTGAAGGCTCTTCCTCCGATGGGGCTCAGGGTTCCGGGAGACTTCGTCTTTCCCGGCCGGAAATATCCCACCGCTCAGAGTTTATTCAGAATAGTTTATTACAGGACATTATTTCTTTGAAAAAAATGCTGCTTGTTATCTTAAAAATTTGCATCAGAGTTCCCATGCTCAGGATCATTAATTTATGTGCGGTTGGTAAGTATGCATGCCAGTTATAACAGGTTATTCATGTTCATACAGCGTGCAAGTCAACGCAACACAGCATGCTTTAGTCAGTCTATGGCCAGCTTCAGGCAACAGTCTCACTGCGACTGCTGCGTGAAGCATGCCACATTTAGAATGAAACTCTTGTCTGTAATTGGAGTTGTTTAATGATTCAAAGAAAATAAATGAATGTGATGCTTGTATTCACTGTTTAAAACAAGCATACAATCGGGATAACTCGATATGTAGATAACTCGACGTGAATAATGTATACATATAATTCAGCGGGTGTCAGTCGATCATGAAATCATCTCTTACTTAAATCTGTTTTTCCCCTTTTCCTACTTGGACTTGCGACGCAATCGGCATATAGATACTAGCAGGATTCGGAAGATCTCTGTATTTTATGTCCATCAGGTCGCTGAGCAGATTTGCTAAAATAGCGATTATAGCAACCAAAAAGATTAACCTTCCTACGAGATCAATCTCATATTTCATCAATAATCCTGCGGATGTCAAAACCAATGATGTTGAAAAAGTCATTGCGACTGCTATTGTGCTGAGAACCCCGACGTATCCGAATATCTTCTTCATTTTCCCTACGTTCTTTCTTGCCTGAGTTCTTGTTCTTTGCAATTTCTCCTGCATTTCCCTCTCCAAGTCACGGTGCCATGAATCCAAGGCCTGTGAGAGGATAATTTCAGGTGCAAAATATAATTAGCTGCAAAGCGTCAAGAATAGAAGCAACCAACAACCATGATGAAGTCATCTCACCTTCGCTAGAATAACTTCGTATTCCTTCCGAAGCCAATCAGGTGTCCAGCTGCTTGCTTCTTGGAAGGATCGAATAACCGCATTTCTGTGTTCCCTATGATTTTCCAGCAGCTCATTTTGGCCCACGATGGTTTCTCTGTATAACTTTTGCATCCTATTGGTGTCTATGTATTCTCCTGCGGCTTTCCTGACCGCGTCCTCAAGCCATTTTCTGACTCTTATTTCTTTACGTTTTCTTCCTTCCTCGAATTCATCTTTTTTACTCTCTAGACACTATGGGAAAAGAGGTAGAATCCCGTTAACAGAGTCACAATGACACTGGAAAGAAAAGGGGATGCTTCTATCTCCCAACATCCATCGGGATGAGTGGGAACGAAGCGAAATCAATATTACTTTTTCTAGCTCGTCCTTGTATTTTTCATAAAGGTGCGGCCAATCCGCTCCGCTCTTCCTGAATGTCTCGAGTGCCTCTGTTTGATATTTCTTGTGTCCCTTATCCAGCTCTTGCTTTGTGATGATGGATTCCCCAAGCAATGAGGTAATCTCCTGGATATACTGGATTGCACATTTCCCCATAGCATCTCTCACTGCTGCATCTGCTGCTCTCTCTTGATAATCTCTGAATGTTTTATAAACATCATGTTCGTTTGCAATATGCTGCCGGGAGAGAAGGACAGATTGTTTAATATTTTACTAGGAATACATAATTTATTTAATACATTTTATTTGACCTTTTTCAACTTTTCCCTATATCTCTTCGAAATGTGCGGATAGCGCTTCCCTGTCTCTAAGAAGTATTCCATTGCTTGTCGATAATAGTCGAGATGCTTATCTTTTAATTCCTCTTCACTCAAGTATCGTCCGGGCAATGGGAACATATTCCTATATTTGCTAATTGCCTCTTCCACGGCATTCATGAGTTCCATTTCAGCCTTTCTCTCTTTTGACTGCCTCAACTCTTTGAATCTCTTATACTCGTCACCCACGCACTGCAGAAAATAGCATATTAATGAATTAAGGATTTCATTACCCTTTCTGGAACCGTGCCATGAATATCTTGGCTACCTTTTCCAACTTGTCATGGTGTTCCCTCAGCCGAAACGGACACAATGCATTATTTATGCTGCGGGAAAAATACTCAGTTGCTTGATTGTGATATTTCTCATGTGCATTTCTCAGTTGCTCCTCAGTATTCAAAGATCCTGCACACAAGTGGCTCATCTGATTGTAGTATTCCCAGAAAGAGGCTTGCACAGCGTTTTCGAGTTCTCTTTCTCCAGTGTTCTCTTTCGAATTTCTCTCAATTAAAAAGGTTTCGGTCTGGCTCTCGATTTCCTATTCGGAAATGTGAAGTTGCAGGATAAAACTGATAAAGATGGACAATTTATGGAACTCAGGAGAATAGCGTTAATTGAAAAAGGGATGCAGTAATCACACTACGAGGATAAAAATAATTATAACTAATAATTCAGCAAGTAAAATAAGAGACTTTACAATACCTTCTCCAACTCCTTCATCTTATTGCTGAAAACGCTTTTGTTGACTGTTACGCTTTTCTTTTGGTAGGTTTGGATTACAGATTTCTTCACATCTTGGCTTTTTTCCATTAGCTCCTCTTGGGTCACTATAGGGATTTTTAGGATCAATGCAGCCATATTCTGCCTGTGTTGTTCCAAAGCAAAAGTCTTGGCTTCCTGGAGTTCCGAAATACTTTTTTCTTCTCTTGCATCCCTTTGTATCTTGTATCTCTGGTATAGTTCGTTCAAATTCTGAGGAAAAGAATAATAAATAGCTTTACGTCATTTGACCATCTGTAAGACCGTCATGATGAAAAAGTAACATTGTTTTAGGGCTACTAGAAAATGACAATATAATTCTGTGTCATTTGCAATGAGCATATACAATGGAGTCATCAACATTTCTGCATTCCGTATAATAATTATTTGTACTGCGAGAAATAAACTTCACCAATTTTGTTCATTCAACTTAATGCTCTTCATTTTCATCGACACAAACATTCCAGAACTTCTTATGCATACAATGTTCTTCTGAATCTGTGTGGCTTGGAAAATACAGTATTCACCATTCATGAATGGTATGTGATTATCGTGCACATCTCGTGGCAGTCACATCCTCTTCCCAAGAACACTATTTGAACTGTCACGTATATAATTCCTATCAAGAAAGCATTAGTTGATATATCTCATTGCAATACTGTACGGGCGTGTATGATACGTTAGTACAATGATCCTGGAGTCACTGTCCGTTAACGTTACCTGGAGATGCTCTTAACGTTCGTGTGGCCTAACCTCTAACAATGGGAAAACATTGCAGAATTTCTGTTAATTCAGGGGGGCGCGGCTTCAAAATTATGGCACAGCAGTCCGTCGTTGGCTGGATATCACGTTTTCAAGAATTTCGCTTAGCTGCCGTGGTTCCACTGAATGACCCTGAGTCCTAATATGATACATTGCGGCATCTTCCTTTGGGATTGTGCAAAGGGAGAAGTGTATCGCACCAAATCCTGGGATCTTGATGCATTAGAACGGTGGTTCCCAACATGTGTGCCGCGAGTAAGGCTTCCCCTAACAAAACGTCAACCCCCAATCCACCCAGTCAAACAAGCAGGTGGAAAGGGGGCGGATTTGGAAACAGGTGGACGTCCAACCCCCGCTGGAAATCCACCTATCCGTTCGCGCCCATGAACTTCGAGCCTGCTGGATTTTCCCCCGGGTGGACATCGCTCCAACAGGTGCAAATCACGCTTAGGGGGACATCCACCTGGTTCCAAATCCACAGGGTGGTGGCTGTTTTGTAAGGGTTGGTGTTCCATAAGATATGAGAGTTCCCACAATAAAAGTAAATTTAACACTTATTGGTCCTGACAACAATCAAGAACTAGTGAGTACCAGCCCAGGTACAGATCCGCAATTCCGCTGGCTCCTCTACCACTGGAATTACCATATTCGCCGCATCCTAACAATCAATCCTTGAAACAAATAATGGCTGTCAATGATACGCATAGGCCTTTATAAAAAGGCCTGGACAACTAGACATGTTCTCGATGATTCGCGCGTCCACGTCGCGTGGAGATGGGAGGAGAGCACGAAATGTAGGATGTCAGATGCGGCATTTCATGCGTACGCCTAACAACTCTGTCTACTCGGTCACGAGCACCGCTCTCTCCCATTGTCTATTATGGACCCGTCATCCGCGAGGGCTGGAAGGGAAGTGGACTGTACACTTCAAGGGTACGTGTGCTTTAATTTTGCTACCCGTCCATCTTTCAAGAACCCTAGAAGTCGATGATGATGCAAGCCAACATCTGCATCACGAATGAGAGCCTTCGATGGATATTCCCATGCCCGGAAGTAAAAAAAACTGCCTCAGAGAGATTCCCCCCCCCCCGTCTGGCGTCCAAAGGGATGCAGACATAGGGGGGTGGTGTCAATAACAATGGAAGGGCAGGGGGGAAGGGGTTCTCTATTGTGTGACGTCAGGGGCTGCCTCTCTTCCTTTCCTGTCGTCTGCTCCGCCCCCGCCCTCTAAGGGAGGGATCATTTAGGTATGCAAATGAGTGGATGTATACTATTGATGTGGGGATATGTTTGATTCGATAAGAATCAGCGACGGGAGTTTTGTGTTTTCTTTCCCCGTGCTTTTTCTTTTTCTTTTTCGTATTCGGAGTCGCAATTAATGATGGATATCGGAGTTGCGTCATAGGGGAAATTGAATCTCCTACTGCATCATACCTTCTACGTTCCTATGGTTTGCAGAGGAAGACTCATTCAAGCTATGCAAATGCATAAACTCGAGAAGAAAAAGTAAAAAGAAAACAAGAATTAATGCCGTGGCCAGGAGTTGAACCTGGACTTCTGCGGTCACAACGCAACGTACAAGCCTCTATTCGACGACGGCTGTTGAACTGACTTATATGACGTATTTACACATACGAGGGATTTCTCAAAAGTTCTGCCAGTAGTCCACAAGTCGTCATCGGAGGCGGCCGCAAAGTGCTGGACCTAGAAAAGGCTTGAAAAAAAGGATTTTGAACGGTGCTTTGATCGTTGGATCCATCGAATGAGAAAATGTATTGAAATCGGTGGGGAGTATGTGGAAAAGGTGTGAAATAGTTGCCTGTGGCAATAAAGATTATTATTTATTCATGGAACACTAGATTTTTTATTTCTTTGGGGCTACTGGCAGAGCTTTTGAGAAATCCCTCGTATGATGTGAACTAAAAACAATTGCCCCTCATTTCATTGCAGTGCAGATTTAGGGAGCAGTTCTCCAGTTTCAAAGACAGGTATTAGAGGAAATGGAAGTCCATAGAATTTCAATATATAGTATACATCCACTCATTTGCATAGCTTAATCAATATTCCCTCGGGGGAGGGGGGGGGAGCTGACGACAGAAAAGGAAGAGAGGTAGCCCTGACGTCACACAATAGGGAACCCCTTCCCCCCAACTCTTCCATTGTTATTGACACCACCCCCCTATGGTGGCAACCCTTTGGACGTCAGACGGGGGGGGGGGGGAACCTCTCTTACCTCGAACTTTGCCACATTACAATATATGGATAGGCTGTTGTCATTTAACATTCAAGGCTTGGACGGTAATGCTAACATTATTGAGATTGCAATCCAACTCACTGACCTTTTCCAAAATATCTCGGTATCTTCCTAAAAGTTCTTTGCCACCCAGCTTCTTCGACCTTGAAAACGTATCAATTGCTTTTGCTTTGTATTTGGCGTGCAATTCGTCCAGCTTCCTATGAATCGGGACTGGTGCTCCTTTGAGAAGGTTATCCATTTGTTTCTTGTATTGCTCCGTCGCTTTATCGCAGGCAATCTGATGTTGGACGTCTGCTGTGGCCTTCAAAAGAATATTGCAACGTGGTTCCTACAACATATAATTATCTTTTGGAAATTGAAGCTTTTCATGTCGATTACCTCGAAAATGATCTCAGATCCAGCTCTGTCCTTTCGAGCGTTATAAATTCTCACGTAACACTTAAAATACTGAAAGAGTTCCCGGCAAGTTATTTGCCTCCCTGCAATCCTCTTGGGAACCAACTTTTCTGGAGAGAACAGCTTAGACACCAACTCTTGCAGGTGCTCTTTGAAGTAATTTTCTTTGTCTAGAATCATGAGTCAATTGCACTATTAATTGCATCTTGTAAAGTATGTACACCCAAATGCGATCAGTCGCACTGAGAACATCAAGATCGCATCAAGAATGATGAACTCACCAGAAAGGAAACAATTTAAATCTGGATCTCCACTTGCTTTCTCCCCCGGATATGGCATCAAGAAACCGCTGATTTCTGAGAAGCATTCTTTTATGTCTTCGATTACTTCTCTGAGTTCTCTCCGTTTCCCAGCGTTCTGCAGGGATTGAATAAAGAATGCCCTCGATTGTTCACAAATCCTAATTACCAGTACTGACTTTTTCAGGAAAAATGAATAGGGTTAGACCTGCAGCCTCTCGTCTAGGAGCTCCTTTCCTCCTTCACTGCCGTACGGGTAGTTTCCATTAGACTGATCCGTCACCAGGATCAGCAGGTGCTGAAAAGGTTTCTCATCTCTTACATCGAGAGAGAGCTGGCCATTCCCATTGAAAATCTGGAATTAGAAGAGCTTCCAATGAGTAAGCAATGACATCTATGAACTTTCAGGGATTGTTGGGACTCTTCTGTCATCATTGTACTTTTTTCAACTGGGTCGCCTTGTTTTTTTTTCCTAGGCAGTCAGTCAGTTCCAATATCATTCCTTCACACTAAAATCCATATTTCGTTTTTAGAGAAATGGCCATATCTCCCCAACAATAAGCGGTAATGTGACCTGTTGGGATCACTTTGAAACATGTCAAAATGTGTTTTTTTTTGTGCGGATTTTGCTTAGGTTTAAAAAGGGAAGCATCAATACATCATTTCGAAAATTAGCGACGTTAATTTTTATGTTTATGTGCCGTTAAAACTAGGTTTCACTTTGCATGGCCATCTTGCTCCGAATTTCCCTGTCCGTCATGTCTGAAATTGCTTTAATTCCCAAAATGATTTCTTTTGAAATTGCAATGAGAACGATTCTTGAAACCATCCATATGCCATTCGTATTTCTAGATCGGTGATTTTTTTCCTAGAAATATTTTTAAAAAGTCATTAACACAGGGTGTCTTTCAAGTTCGTAGTACACATTATAATATAACACTTGCTATAATCTCGGATATGGAGGAAGCATCTTATTTGAGTCAGCTTTGAGTAATATATTCCTATACCAATATTGCAATTTCAATATCAATGCTGTATGCTCAGAAAGAGTGAGTCGCACAAAAATCGGAGGTTCGACGAAGCAATGGAAAGTAACAGATCATCTTTCAAGAAAGTACGGGATGAGGGAAAAGTAATGACGCACTTCGAAAAGTGTAGCCGTTACACACAAGTTGAGAAATATATACCTGGAGGTTCAGAAGGTCGTCCATTCCGATATCATTTTCCAGCTGATAAATTTGCACCGAGCTCAGCAAAGTACTAAGAGCAAAGACACTAATGCCACATCCTAGAGTCTCCCGTGAGTCGAAGTTTCCTTCTGTGTCCATGAGGATAATGCATACCTGGAACGCAAGCCGACGGTATAAGTCGTAAACCTACGTATACCTACGTTAGCAAACACAAGAACTGTGTATACGATTCAGAATGCAGTCAATAAATGGAAATAATGATTATGGAACATCCACCTCTTCCCCCTTATGTAGCTTCACTGTGAAAATGTCATTCCAAATATAGATTCCTGTAGGTACTCTCTGAGTACTTTCTCTCCACTCTGAAATGTTTGCATCTTGAAGCCAATTTTGAGACCCCTGAAATTTCAAGAAATATGAAGAATACTAATAAATAACTGTTACAAAGTTGGGGGGAAATGAAGCAGCTGATGCTAATCTGAAATGCATTTTCGCACCTGGGCCCTCAGATAGCGCAAAAAAAGGCTCAACAGGAATGATTTTCTACGCCTTCCTTTTCCAACTATGGAAATGACAGCAATTGGTTTATCCTTGCAGTGGTCTTGCAACAAGATGCTTCTCAGTCGATTCTCTTTCAACGTAAAGTACGATTCACCATCATCGCATTTCATATATTCAACAACACAGACTGCATTTCCTCTGGTAGGAAAAATGAATAGGGTTAGACCTGCAGCCTCTCGTCTAGGAGCTCCTTTCCTCCTTCACTGCCGTACGGGTAGTTTCCATTAGACTGATCCGTCACCAGGATCAGCAGGTGCTGAAAAGGTTTCTCATCTCTTACATCGAGAGAGAGCTGGCCATTCCCATTGAAAATCTGGAATTGGAAGAACTTCCAATGAGTAAGCAATGACGTCTATGAACATTCAGGGATTGTTGGGACTCTTCTGTCATCATTGTACTTTTTTCAACTGGGTCGTCTTTTCTTTTTCCTAGGCAGTCAGTCAGTTCCAATATCATTCCTTCTCACTAAAATCCGTATTTCGTTTTTAGAGAAATGGCGATATCTCCCCAACAATAAGCGGTAATGTGACCTGTTGGGATCACTTTGAAAAATGTGAAAATGTTGTGTTTTTTGTGCGGATTTTGCTTAGGTTTAATAAGGGAAGCATCAATAAATCATTTCGAATATTGGCGACGTTAATTTTTATGTTTATATGCCGTTAAAACTAGGTTTCACTTTGCATGGCCATCTTGCTCCGAATTTCTCTGTCCGTCATGTCTGAAATTGCTTTAATTCCCAAAATGATTTCTTTTGAAATTGCAATGAGAACGATTCTTGAAACCATCCATATGCCATTCATATTTCTAGATCGGTGATTTTTTTCATAGAAATATTTTTAAAAAGTCATTAACACAGGGTGTCTTTCAAGTTCGTAGTACACATTATAATATAGCACTTGCTATAATCTCGGATATGGAGGAAGCATCTTATTTGAGTCAGCTTTGAGTAATATATTCCTATACCAATATTGCAATTTCAATACCAATGCTGTATGCTCAGAAAAAGTGAGTCGCACAAAAATCGGAGGTTCGACGAAGCAATGGAAAGTAACAGATCATCTTTCAAGAAATTACGGGATGAGGGAAAAGTAATGACGCATTTCGAAAAGTGTAGCCATTACACACAAGTTGAGAAATATATACCTGGAGGTTCAGAAGGTTGTCCATTCCGATATCATTTTCCAGCTGATAAATTTGCACCGAGCTCAGCAAAGTACTAAGAGCAAAGACACTAATGCCACATCCTAGAGTCTCCCGAGAGTCGAAGTTTCCTGCTGTGTCCATGAGGATAATGCATACCTGGAACGCAAACCAACGGTATAAGTCGTAAACCTACGTATACCTACGTTAGCAAACACAAGAACTGTGTATACGATTCAGAATGCAGTCAATAAATGGAAATAATGATTATGGAACATCTACCTCTTCCCCCTTATGTAGCTTCACTGTGAAAATGTCATTCCAAATATAGATTCCTGTAGGTGCTCTCTGAGTACTTTCTCTCCACTCTGAAATGTTTGCATCTTCAAGCCAATTTTGAGACCCCTGAAATTTCAAGAAATATGAAGAATACTAATAAATAACTGTTACAAAGTTGGGGGGAAATGAAGCAGCTGATACTAATCTGAAATGCATTTTCGCACCTGGGCCCTCAGATAGCGCAAAAAAAGGCTCAACAGGAATGATTTTCCACGCCTTCCTTTTCCGACTATGGAAATGACGCGTTAACCAAATAGGAACGTCACCAGAACGTTGTTCTACGAAGAGTCAGCTAAGAGAAAGTTGCATTTCATGCTAAGTGGTAGTAGCGTAAAGTATATAAGTTGTTGTGTCTGACGTAAAGGAGACCAAGTGTCCATCCCTACCACCTCCTTTCTTGTCCTAGGCGTGCTTCCTAGATATTCAAGGAGGCAACAAGGATCATTCTGCCCCCCGTTCTTCTCTAGGTATGGGCGAGTATGGCACAAAGAAAAAAATTCGCTACCCAGCAAATAAAACCAGAATTTCTCTTTGAGAATTGTCATCAAAATCATCTTACCAAAAGTGCGAATGAAATCAATGTCGAAAAAAAAGGTATTTCCCATGTTACCACTTTCACAACTTCGTTATTAGTAGATAAAGCACTTATATGTGAACCATTTTTTTACTTTTTTTTATAAACTGGGAAGACCGTGTCCAGATTGTCAATCACTGACATCGATTGGGACTGGAAATCGATAGGTCTATCGCAGATCCTTTTTTGAAGGAAAATGCTATAAGGAAAGCAATAATATTGAGATTTTACGACTCCTTCAAGTATCTCATAAATTCCATTCAAACAACAGTTTGACATTGAAAAAGAAACATTACTATACGACTTTTACCATTTCAGAAGCCAACATTTTTTTTCATCATTTGATGGAACAAAATGAAAGTGAGCGCAGTTTGCTTCTGAACCTCTGGAGACATTCACGTACATATCGTTTAAATTCTTTTAAATTTCATATAATATGAGCTGAGCTGAGATGGAATTTTTAATATTGTTGCTAACTTCATGAAAGCCCTGTCCAATACATTCACGTCTGCCTCGTTGCAAACCAACCTAAGAAATCATATCGATAGCCATATCCACCCGTTAATGACGCTTGAAATAGGAAATCAGATAGCCTGGCTCTTGGGCGTACATGCCTTGTGAACCGGCAATTGGGACTGCGGTTTGTGTTATTATTCTTCTCGCTCTGCACTTTCTGAATAACCGGTAGAAATTGCGTTCTTGTTGGGAATAATAATGCGTTTACCAAATTCGGCATCCATGGACACGACAGATTTTCCAAACTTCTCCTTGAATAGGTCAATGATTTCGCCTGCCTCATTCTCCATCCCTTGCTGGCAGAGGATATCATGCAGTGCTTGAAAAGTTCGGGAACTATTCGTGGATGACGAATTTCTCCAAGCATTCAAAATCTCGTATGTCGCATTCAATGGGCTTTCATGGCAATGCTTGATTCTTTGAATGATATCATCTTGAATCCCCAACTTCCTTCCAAAGTCCTCCCACGTTTCCCACGTCTTCTCTAATATAGTCGCGATATCCCATGCATCGTTCCCAGAGGGTCTCCTGGAGGATTTAAGAATGCAATAGCGGATGAAATAGAGTGTATGGAAAGTCACTACATATCTTCAAATGGCAATAATGATTGTAAATTTTAGAATGGAACTGTGGTTTCGTATCTAAAGAAAGAGAATTTGATCGGGCTTAATGCTTTAATTGATCTGTTTGTTTGCAGTAACCCTCCATGGTACAAAATTGAATCTTCCACACTACGCACAAATATCTGCACAATATTGCATCCAAAGCATTCTCCTTCCACCACCACCTCTAGACCAGCAGTTCTTAAGAGAGGAGACCATATTGTGCACTTCTTGGTCTCATTTCAAGTTTTCCTAGAACTGGATCGCGAGGTATGAGATGCTGGCACTGCGTTGATTGCTTGACCGTCAGATTCCATAAAAATGGGTGATGTTTACGGGAAATTATTTTCGGAAGAGGGAAATTAGTTCTTGTGTTTGTAGTCCTTTTTGCATGGCAAAAGTGCCAACGGCATAGAGGACTTCCTTATATTGGGTTGGAAAGAAAGTCTTGCAACACTTTCTAAAACTAATAATGAAATTGTTCAAAGGAATGATGGGCAGGCTTTGCATTTGCATATGCTGGAATGTTCTCGAAGCTTCTGCCCTTGGGGATTATAAGGCGACTACTGCCATTAGTTGGCAGCCATGGCTCCGATCGAACAAGGAACTCTTCACCCCATCGTCAACTACGAGTTCCTCCAAGGACACTGCGAAAGCCGCCGCGGACAACATCTGCGCTGCATTCAAGGGCAATGTCGTCCACTATTCCACGGTGTCTCGATGGTTGAAACGCTTGGAATCTGGCGACACGATCTTCGGAGATCGACCACGCTCAGGACGTCCATCTACAGTCGATGACGAAGCCCTGCGGAACGCCCTCAACGCGAAGCCGAACGCCACCACTCGCGAATCATCGACTACACCTGGAATCACCCATATGGCCATCGGCAACCATCTGAACGACCTTGGCTATCGGAAGGTTTACTCGACATGGGTCCCTCATCGGCACAGCGACTCTGACAAAGCAAGCCCTGTCAGGGTCTGCGAATCACTGCTCCTTCGTCAGCACAGAAGAACCTTCTGAAGGAAATCGTTACTGGAAATGAGAGCTGGGTCCTCTACGTCAATCATACTCGCAAGAGTCAGTGGCTTCCGCGAGGAGAATTGCCGCCACACGAACCGAAACAAGGGTACCAAGAGAAGAAGGTTCTTCTCTGCTGTTGGTGGGATTCAGAAGGTGGGACTCAGATTCATGAGCTCCTGCGAACCGATACCACCGTGACTGCCGTCGTCTACACTGCTCAACTTCAGGAGTTGGCTGGCGTCATTCAAAAAGAGCGTCCCAAACGCGACAAAGTCCTCCTTTTGCATGACAACGCTCGTCCACATGTTGCTTGGGATTCAGAAGGAATGTTGTACTATGAGCTCCTGCGAACCGATACCACCGTGACTGCCGTCGTATACACTGCTCAACTTCAGAAGTTGGTTGGCGTCATTCAAAAAGAGCGTCCCAAACGCGACAAAGTTCTCCTTTTGCATGACAACGCTCGTCCACATGTTGCGAAGATGATTCGTCAGACAATTCCGGAACTGGGCTGGGAAATTTTACCCCATCCAACGTATTCTCTGGACTTGGCCAATTCCGACGATCACTTGTTCCAGGCCCTCAATAATCATTTGCGGGACAAGGCCTTCGACGATCAAGCACAGCTCGAAGATGATGTCGGCCGTTTCTTCGCTTCTCAGCCATGGCTTCTTATTTGCCCAGAGTTCTGGGCAAAGGGCATCGAGCAGTTACATTGCGTTGGTTACATGTCATAGACGACAATGGGCATTACATTGTAGACTGAAATTGCATTTCAATGAAGATATAAAATTTTGAAAAATTTGCGCAGTGTTGCATGACTTTCTTTCCAGCCCAATATAATTTTTTTATTAAATCAACATCACGTCCAGTATGCGTGCGCCAGATGCTACTTTTCTATTTCTGCCCGATTCACTATGATATAAAAACTTCTTTGAAACCGTAACGTCCCCAATAAACATCCCACACGAAAAAATTCCAATGCTTTGGAAATTTTACATTTTTCTTGAGCTCAGTGCTTCAGCAGTCTTGTTCTTGCCAAGTTTCAAGCCAAGCCTATGTGTTTCCGTTTGATTGAACAAAGAGAACTATTTGAATATATGTTCCCGAAAAGGTGTGCCCCTATTGCATGTGTCATTAAAGTAGAATTTGTATGTGCCTTGAGGCGTTTTAACCGGAAAGTACCTCTTTTTTACCAAAATCAATCCACAGAGAACTACATGCCCACAACGTTTCAACCTCATACGTTTGCCCTTTTCGCTGGTGGAAAAACATGCATGGAAAAGCCGACCTACCCAAAAGCTATGCCCGGAGATGATGCACCATGAAAGCTGAATTCTCCCTCACCTCAGTAATATCATGTCACTCATACGTGTGCCAAGTTTCACCTTTCCATTTCTGTTCAATTCGCCAAGAAAATTTTTTTTCCTTCAAAACATCGCCCCTCAAAAAAATTCCCCCAGGGGATGATTTATTTGTTATTTAATATTTTTTATTTAACTCTTTGTCTCCGTAGTCACATCCATGCAAAGTTTCAGCTTTTCCTGTTCATCAGTTTGACTAATGCCAAAAAATGAGTTGAAAACATCTCCCTTTGAAATGTGTGCCCCCGGGGCATTTACTTCCAAAGTCTGAAGTTTTCTGCAGCATCCCAATAGGTTGTTTTGTACGACTGACCGCGTCGTTCGCATTGCACCCCTTATGGAACTGGAGAAGTAAGCAATGGCGGATGTGGTTGTCGAACCGCAATTTTCAATCGAGTGGGGAAAATTTTACCTGAAAGCTAAACACGGCAGGTATAAAATATGTTTCAGAGCATTTCAGCCTATTTTTTATATATACAAGGGGACCATTAAGTTCTGCAACACATGCGGTTCTCCCTGTCATTTCAATCAAAACACATGATTTTTTATGTGAGGATCGCCGCCATTTAGTTGAATTTGCGTGCAAAATGTAAGCTTTCTGCGACTCAACACCGCGATGAAACCAATGAGAGAAGCCATTATTTGGCTGTATCAAGTCGGTAACAAGCCGGCGGGCATTGCAAAACAGATCAAATTGTCATGATCTATTGTAACCAGAGCTATTG